TGTGGCTAGTTGTAACCTTCAATGTAAGGTGAGCCCTTGGTGGCATGCCATGTCCTAATATACTTGAATAAAAACATTGTAACTCCCAAGATAAGGACTTTAATTATAAAAAAAAAAAATATTTCTTTTGAACTTTCAGATAAAATCAATATTATCTTGTTACAATAAACAAATACTTCACTACATTTTTGCTTCTTTAATCTTATCAAAAGCATCTTCTTTATATCTCAATATGACAATATTAAAATATTATTTTATAAAACAATATTATTCTTCTTTATAGTCCTATCAAATGCTTCTCTAAATTGGTTTTACTAACATATAAGACTATTATGTAACATTTTTTAATAGCAATAAGAAAAAGCTTGCAATATAACTAAAAAATTCAAATGTTCAAAAATATATTCTTTAATTTTATCTTCTTAATTTAATTCTAATATAGTTAAACTTCTCTATAGTCATCTCCTTTATAGTTATATTAATTTATAATTATATAAAATTTTAAAACCAACTTATATAATACTTATAAAATTTAATCTCTTTATAGGCACAAACTCTCTATAAGTACCAAATTCTTGAAACCAAAGGTGTAATTATAGAGAGGTTTTACTATACTACCAATACACCTACTATAAATTCAACTATATTTATTAAAAACTAGTTAATTCTAGACTATACACTTACTAACTATATTTACTAAATACCAAGACTATTATTTTAGATTTCTTTCAATCTTTTTATACTTAAAATTAATTTGAAATAATTAATAATAGTGTTATATAGAAATGAAGATGTAATATCATATTGGATGTCTTAAATAAGTAGCACAAATGTAGTTTAAAAATATTTATATAATTATTTTTATTACTTAATAAAATTTCTATTTTGGCATAACAAAAAAAAAAAAATAATAATAATTAAAATTAGTTTACTTAATATAATTCTTTATAAAATTAAATATAAAAATATTTACCATTAGGTTTATATATAATTTTAAAATACTTGTTCTTATTTTTAAACTAAACTAGTATTAAAATAATTTGAAAAGTTAACTTTCTAAATAGACAACATTTTTGATTCTGCATCAATATATGAAGCAGATTATTATTAATAAATCAGAAGTATGTGAAAAAACCAAAATGCAAATGATTCTTTTAGTAGTTTGTATTGAGGTTAAACATTTCTCTTAGAGTAAACTCTCTAACATGTTTAATATTTAAAACAAAAGAAACTTCTGAAAACAATAAAGAAAAACTCTAGTTAAATATTGTAAAAAACTTAAAAATATAACAAACAACTAAAAACATACTTCTTGACTTAGTTTTTCATATATTATATTTGCTGGCCTTTTTTTTTGTTTTTAATGTTTTTTTTTTTTACTTAAAAGTAAAAATTTTGATTCTTTTTTACAATAGATTAGCATTGTTTACTACTTTCTTTTTTAAATAATTATATGTTGTAACATAATATAATAAGAATACAACAATTATATATATAGTCTAATATATGATATAATGAAGAATGAAGAAGAATTTAAGTTGAAAAATTATAGTAAATTAAAGATATATAGTAATTTCCAAATCATATATGTTAAATATTTTAAAACTCTTCTCTGCAGATCCCTTGACCAAAATTTTCAGGAAGCAAAACTTAATAAAACTCAATAAATAGACTAGGAAACAAGACTTAAGATACTAAAAAAAAAGACAGAGCAGCAAAAATTGCATATAGTTTAATAGAAGATACAAAAAAAAGCCTTAAAGTTAACAAAAACAGCATATAAAAAACTTTTTATGAAAAATAAAAATTTTTTTTTGTTTGGAAAATTGGGGAACTGCCAAAACCCTGTATCATAGATCCTTCAAGTTATACAAGAAACTGCACTAGTATAAGCAAAGTAAACAAACAAACACATACATTAACTAGCTTAATCTAAATACAACATGTAATATAGAAGCATATAGAAAACAGTTGTGCAACATGAACAGAAATCTGCCAGAAAAATACAGAGAAAGCCTTAATGCAATTTTTACAAGAAGGGCATATAAAGCAATGAATAGTGTGCACAATAAAATTTTCTTTAATGAGACAAGCAAGGCATATGCAATACCTAGCAGAAAAGACAATATTGTTGCAGTACTTATAAGACAGAACCCAAATGAAGTGGCACTTTTGTGAATAACAAGAGAAATACTAGAAAAAGCAGAAAAAGAACTGCCTGAAAAGAAGTTGGATTTTGTAGAACAGTACCAAGATAGAATAAATACAGAAAGAAAGAACAGCAACAGAATAATGAGACAAAAGAAAGATAAGAAGAGTTAAAGATAGAGACAAAAAGGAAAAATAAAGAGATGAAGAGGTCAACATGAGTTCACAAGCAATTATCAAAACAACAGGGAAAAAAGTAAGTATAAAGGTAAGACAGACAAATAATAACCAAATAGAAGCTGAATCATCCATCTATATGAGAAAAAAAGAGAAACAGAAAAGAGGATAAGAACAAGAAGATATAGAAATAAATAGAAAAGAATCAAGACAGGGATTAATGACAGAAGAAAAAGAAAAAAAAAAAAAAAAACAAGAAAGTGAAAGAGAAATTGATATAGTGGGAGTACTACTCGAAGAAAGCATGTGGGCACCAAGCAAAAGAGGCTGCAATCGAAATAACAGCCTATTTGCAAACATATCAGCACATAATATACCTAGAAAGACCAAAAAAGAATAAATGAACTTTATTAGATAATTACTAAAGAATAATAAACATGTTAAGAACATTGAAAAGGTTTTCAAAAGAGGAAACCTTTGGATAGAGGTAGACTTTAACTGCGAATATGACAGAAGTGAGGCAATATAAAGAATTAGCAAGAAAGAAAGTAATTGGTACAGAATGATTACAGAAGAAGAAAGAATAGACAAGAAGGGAAAAGAGAAAACATATGATAATGATTATCAAAAAGAAAAGAACAATACATCAAAGTTTAAAAAGAAGGAATATAAATATCAAGAAAGGAAAAAAGAGCTAACAGAAGACCAAATAGATATTAGAAAGAAGGAAATACAGAAACATAAATATATAACAATCTGGGATCTACCAGCAAATATAAACAGAAAAGAGATTGAATATATGTGCAGAAGATTTAAAAAAGCACATATAATGAGAATCAAGAGATCCAAATACAAGTCTCTCACAATAGTCCAAGCCAAAGAGTCAAAAGAAGAAGACACACCATGATCGATACCAGTTAACAGTAACAAACTGATAAGAGTAACAGAAAGTAAAGAGAATTATGAAGCAAAACAAAAACAGAGTCAGTATATAGCAAAAATAACAGAGCTGTTAGGCAATGCTTCAGAAGTCTTGCTGCTACACTGCCTAAGAAGCAAAGATGCAAAATTAGTATATATCTTGCCAAACAGAAATGGAAATCAAAGAAGAACAGCAATAGTCACATTTGTGACAGAAAAAGAAATGAAGGCAGCCCAATCAAAACCAATTAGATATAACAATTTTCAAGTCTTCTGGCTAAACAAAAGAAGAAATGAAATAAGGAAAGGAAAAAGTTTTAAAGGAAGAAGAGAAAGAAGCTAGAAAAGAAACAGCCAAAATCATAATAGAAGACATATAGAAATAAGAAATAATTCTCCTATTCTTTAGATTGTTTCAATTAAATAAGTTTTAAACTCTAGTTAATGAAACTTATTTAACAATAAGCATTAGTTTTCTATTTTTTTTTTTGTATATTTTTTTTTGCTATAATTCAAACTAACACCTTTTCTATAAATAAATTAATCACTTTTATAGAAAAAAATTTGCATCATAATTGTAATGAATTATATAATGTAGTGCACTAATTAAAGTATTCCTCTTTTTGTGTACTTCTTGCAAAATACCCTGTGCAAAACACAAGATTTTTATTAAATAAATATAAGTTTTTTTAAATTTTTAAACTGCTTATTGTAAGTGCAAAACATATATATACTTGAAATTTTTTTTATTTGTGACACAGACCCATAATGATACAATAGACCTGGGCCTTTTATAATTTTTTGGAAAGTGGATTGTATTGTATCTCAGGTACTTTAGTTAGTGCACTATAATAATTAAGTATATTATTTATAATATAATATATGATAGGATGTATTAAGTACAAAGAGCAAGAAATGATAATTATAATATTGTAGTTTATAGATAACAAATGATTAGTTTTATATTAAAAGATTTCAAATAAATGATTAAACTTTTAAAAATATAATTTATTAATAATTGATAAAAAAAAATAATTATTACAATTTATATTAACAATTGCAACTTCTGAATAAAACAATTAAACAATTCTATTTTAAAAATATTTGCTTTAACGAAACATTTCAAAACTTGAAAAATATTAACCATAATTACTATTAAGAATAGTTTCACAATTTCAGAGTGTTCCAATCTATACAAAAGTTTAGTTAGAAGAATTATTGTGATTTGTGTATTGATGTAACTTTGATCAAAATTTTAAATAATTGCACACCTATACAATCATCAGATTGTTGTCTAGTTGTGTAATTGTTAAAGATTTTTTAGTGAGAACAGATATAGCTGACGAATTTTATAAAAATAATTTATTTATTTTGAAACTTTGTTTAAAAAATCACATTTACAATCATGCAATTGGACAAGAATTAGGTAATTGTATAGTTGTGAGTGATCTACAAGTTTGGTCAAAATTATATCAATATGCAAATAGCAATAATTGAATCAATATTAAATAATTTCCTGTTGTATAAATTAAAAATATAATTATTAAATAAATGTGCATAAATGTAATACTTAAAAATAAAAGATATAAATAAGCCTTATCACTCAAGCTACTGATTTCTATTAAAACATCCTAATTTCTCTTTTTTTATAATAAACCAGATTTTTCTTAAGCATTTAACTAATTCTGTTATAAAATTATAATTCAATTAGAGTTATATCATTTGTATTCTTATACAAAGCATTATAATTCAAAATGACTAATATTAAATCTACTTATATAAAGGAATATAATACTTCTGAAGAAAGCCATAAAGAAGATATTTTTGTTGATCAAATTATTCTTAAAAATGCTCAAGTTTTATTATATGATAAAAGTGATAATATTAAATGAGACAAGATTAAACATGAAAATTCTATTCCTAACAATAAATTGATCCCAACAATGTATGATGAAAGAGAAGTAGCAATCAAAAAGACCTCTATGCAAAGTAAGAGTTTAATTTCATATGTAATTATAGACATTAGTAAAGGTGAAATAAGATGCTGTAAAAATACAACAAATCTATAATAATTGCAACAAATGATAGAAACATAAGAGATAGATGTATATGCAATTGAATATGTTAAGGATAATCTTTTTCAACTTGGTATATGCTATAATTATTTTCAATATGATTAGAATCATCTTTATGAGCAAGGGCTAAAACAATTATGCTCTATTGAACAGAGTGTTGTTCATTTTCATATTTGTCTTTTTTGCAATAAAAAAAAGTTTTTTCAGCTGTGAAAACTGCTATATACAGCATTTTTGAAGTGTTAATAGATGAAATATTCAAATACTTTGTATTGGTGATTTAAATGCTTTGCATTTTCTGAGGGACCTATTTCAAAAAAATTAATTTCAGGATATCATGCATATTATATTTGCTTAAAATGCTTTTAACAACATGATGAACATCTCTATAAAAGACAAAGCAAAGGCAAAACTCTTGAATTGTGCACTGAACTTGAAAAACACAATAATAATATGTATAATGCTCTGAAACTTATTAGAAAATGAATAATATTAGTATCAAAATCAGATAATTAAGAGCTGCAAGAAAAACTTCTATCTAAAATATAATCAACTATTTTTAATAAAATAATTATGAACAAGGAAATGGATAAATCTCTAAATAAATTATTTATTAAAGTGGCAATAAAAATAGAAAATATAGAATTAAATAGGTTAACCAAAAAAAAGTCTCATATAACTCCTAAAAAGGCTTTGATGATGAGAAAAAAATTAGAAAAAAAATCTTACATTTATATTCTGAAATTAAAAAAAATAGAAACTAGTTAGTAAACTCAAGTTTATATAAAATCTATTTTAACACTTTACCTAACATTATTTGTAGCTTTTTTCAAGCTCTCCTTATATTATTACAAGAAGATAAACAAGAAATTGTTAATACTAAGAGGCATTAATGTGAACTTGTTTCAAAATCGATTAATACAAGTCAAATATCAAGAACTACTATTTTGCTAACCTTCATGTTACTTACAATCACTTTTTTCAGAGCCAAAATTTGGTTTGTAAGTATTATATCATCATTATGCCAAAACCCAAAATTGCTACCACATCTACAAGAAATTCTTCATTCATCAGGTGTAGTAACTTATACCAAGCTGCATGAAGATCATCTTGAAAAATTAAGAATACATTATGTGAACCCTAAAGACAACTTAATTGATGGTTCAAACATTTGAAATTTGGCAGTAATTGACAATATTAACTTTAAAGCCTCTACATTCTTATATGATAACATTTTTGATATTACATAACAAACTTTACATGCAACTTTACAGATGGTATTTCAATTTACACTTTCTACTTCATTAAATTGTCTAACAGAAAACTATGAATTTATTAATCAGCCTCTGTTTGGGGAGTTTTTGACTACTAATAACCTTTTAAAAATATATAAGAATATTTTTAATTTAATGCTAAATATTTATATCAACAAATTTGATATAGAATATATATGTTCAAAAATTAATAAAAGAATATCTATAAGTCTTAATATTTCTTCACCAAATGTTGTAATATTACAACCCAGAAATGCACCTAATTGTAATGATAATGTTCATAAAGCATGTGAAATGTATCGTAATAATTTACCTAATAGTAGCAATGAAGGTCTATAAATTACATGTGATTAAGTGATTTTTGGAAGATTAATTTTTTACAAAGAAGTTCACAATGATGTTAAACTTATCTTAGAACAGTGGCACATATCTAAAGACATGTACAGTACCTTAATTACAATTTTTTCTAGATACAGAATATTTAATCTTGCAGCAATTCTTGGCATACAATATTTGAAGAAATTTAGATGTGTAATAGATTACTGGACAACATGTTGCATTTTGGAATTAATCTGGATTGCAGTTAGAATATCTTTATGTCAGTATGTTAAAAACAAAGAAAAAAGCATGAATAATATATTAACTGATAGTATTTATATAGTAAAAATATGGTACCTTTTTTTCTATTGGGTGGAGTACTTTATAGGTCATAAAATTGGAATTAGAAGGAGAAACTATAAGATACAAATCGCAAATTTGCTGCATTCATTCACTCTTTTCTGCTGCTAGAAAATTTAGATATGCAAGTTCTGTAGCATATTTTTTAGCTCAAGTTTACAATAATCCACAACTACAGAAATTATTGCAAACAGTATATTCAGTAAATTTAACAAATAAAGAACATTATTTGGCTTTTGATAAAGCACTTAAAACATATAGTGTGAAATACATTAAGCAAAATATTACTAGTAATCTTGCTGATCAGGAGATGATAATGTCAAAAATAAAGGCTACCCAAAATGAAAAAAATCGGTTATTAATGCTTCTTGAAGAATATATTGATGATGTTGTAGTAAGCCAAAATTCTTATACAATTAAGTTATATAAAGATTCACTTTGGTTACTAGCTACAAAATTATCATCTACTTTTAATTACCCAAATCCTAAAATACATCACCTATTTGAAAATGTACCAAAAATTAGTAAAAATAGTATTAAAAATATTATTTCCTTCTATAAGTCTAGTAAATTATGCTTTTTACAAGTGCTTAATCAAGATATATACAAAACTAAACCTTGTAACATTTCTAGACATGGTGTGCAAAACATAAAATATTATGCTTATTTCAATTTAATAAGAAACAAAAAAAAAGTTAAATATGCCACAAACACCAATTGTTCTAAATATTCAAGAAATGCACCAAACTATGTCTTTCAAAATTCCAAAACAATGCTGCATTACTACAGAAAATAAAAAAAACATACTAGCTCAATTGTGGAAAGGTGAAAAAAAATTAACTAAAACCAAAATTTAAAAATATACAAATACAATTACCAGACTGGACCAAAGAAAGAATCAAACAGTATTGAAACAATAACTGGTGCAAATATTTTTAAAGAGTATTAGGTTGCTACTAAATGCAAATTAAATGTAAACCTGGCAATTTGCATATTATAAACATAGAATTCAAAGTATTTAGTAAAGTGATATAGTACAAAAACACAAATTAAAGTGTATGTATAGAAATTATGATAGTATATATGGTTTGTAAAAGAAAAATTTGATGAATTCAAGTTACTTTCACTATTAACCCAATATAAAAAAGAATATTACTAGTGATTATTTTAATCTAACTATTTATATAATTATTAAAGTTATTATATTTTAGTATAATTTTTACGAATCTGTACTGGCATACAATATTATATACTTTACTAAATATCCTAGAATTTACAAATATAATATTATATACTTATTAATATATTTGTTTAAATTAATTTTTTTAAATAAAAAATAGTTTGTTTAACTGTTTAATAGGAGCTGTATAAAAAATAATTACAGTAATTTCAAAATGGCATTATTATATTAAAAAAAATATCTCATAATAAACTTTAAAATGTCTCAAGTAAACTATTTTTATTCCAATAATCAACTTTGTAGAGCTCTTTATTTACTGTTATTAATAAAGCTGAACATAGTTTAATTTGCAGTAGTTAAAAGAAAATCTTAATGTTTAGGTTGAAAAATTGTGAATTTTTTAATAATTTTTATTTTACATAAAATAAAAATCCAAATATATTTTTAATATAAAAAGAAAACATAAAGCTTAAAGAAAAATTTGTTTAATACTAAAAGTATTAGTAAGTATTGATTAGTTAATGTATTCTTAAAAAAAGTTATGCCAATTTATGTTGCACAAAAATAATTTAATATTGAAGATAATTAATAAAGATATATTATATGACTAATAGTAATAAAATAATAATAAGTATTTATAAAAGAATATATTTTAGATTTTTTTAATAGTCTTAATTTTTTAAAAAAATATATTTAACATATAAAAACTTTAATCAAAATTTATGAAATTATTAAATATAAACAAGATTTTATTTTAATATTAATAAATAAATAAATTAGGCATGCCTTATAGCATATCCTATTGGCATACCAATAATCATTGTGCTATACACTTTACTGGAAGGTCTAGGCACTTATACAACATTATATAAAGAAAAACAAACCAGTATCAATAAATAAATAAATAATTAATTAATTTTTTTTTTTAGTATTAAGGTGGCTTTTTTGGTTTTTTGATTTTTATTAATGAGTTTTTTAGTAATATAGTTCTATAAACTACTACAAAACCACTCTTTCTGATGATCCCTCACACTAACTTTTTTCCAAAAGTCTGACCTATGAAAACTATATAGATATTATATTTAAATATAACAAACTCTATTTTGGATAACTAGGAAGGCTATTCACTGCATGTTTGGTTGTAACTAAAAAGAGCTGAAAAAGATTCGAACCCTTGTAAGCGAAGTCCCTTGGTAAAACAGAAGTACTAGCAAGCAAAGAAGTAGTAGATAAGCTCTAGAGCTTTGTCAAGTGCTATAAGGGCTTAGGCCTAAATAGTTACTTGGTT